ATTCCCAACTCACACTGTAGCTAATTGGAGTAAATTCTGTATATAAAAAGCAGGGAACCCCTACCCACAGCCTAAGAGTATGTTTAACAGCAATTTCATGTGTGTGTAGATGGATATTTTCCTCCCATTAGCCGTGACCTTTTGAAAACGAGCAAAACTGCTTATGATTTAACTGTCATTAATTTATCTTATGACACCCTAGCCGCTGCTTGCACAACCCCAACATGTAGGGGCTGGTTTAAGTTTGAGCATTTTCCCAGAATCAACCACATTAGACAAAGCATGTACACAAAGGAAGCCTGAGAAAATAACACACCAGCAGCCACACCAGCACCCTCCCACCACCCAGGCTGTCGTCTCCACCACCTGTGCTCTCCCTCTGTGTGCCACCTCGTTCAGGGCAGCCCAGGCCCAGTGTGGAAGGAAGTTGCTCAGAAGTTGGAAGCCACGGGAGACACTGCCTGGTAGTGCCTGGCAGTGAAGTCAGCCACACAAAGCTTTCAGTGATTTGCAGGTTTCCCCTCTTTGCTTCCACTCTTTCTCAATGCAGGAATCGTTCCAGGCCTCTAAGTAGAGGGCCAGGGACTTGGCCTATGGAAGTCTGATCAAATTCATGAAAATCAAGGCAAAATCTAAATCAAATTTAATCTTTCTTATATATGTTGGGTCTTATTTTGTTCCCAAATGGGAACCTCTACTTGATTTCCAAAAGAAAAATGTTTCACAGATACTGAAGGTGATTGTAAATAAACAAACGAAAAATTTTGCTGAAACAAGTCAGTGTTTTAATTTTAATGTAAAAATGATTTTACTTAAAAAATATTAGGTATGGAAAATAGAAAAATATACAATCTCTTATCATTTTGTCACCCTCTTACCATACATTGAGCATGTTCTTTTACGCCTATTGCTGTAGAAATAGAGAGATGTATACAAATGAGTGTCATATCTGTTGGTATTATTACTCAATAGAATGCTCAAAGAACATGAAACATATTTCAAAGAAATAGAAATATAGATTTTCAACATGTGAAAAGATGCTTCTTGTCACTAATAGTAAGAGAAAAGCAAATTAAAATTGTGATGAGATTATTTTTCCCCTGTCTGACATGCAAAGTCCTGACACACACTCTTGGCATTCACCAACACAGTGTTAGAAGTACAAAATTATGCTCTCTCTATTGTGTTCAAGTTGGCAATACCTATCAAAATGACCAACACAGGCATTCACAATGACAGAAAACACTATTATAATTTCAGCATTTCTCATAGTAGCAAAAGATTGAAAATGAGCCAACAGTCTATCACAGGGAACTGACTTTATAAAGTGTTGCACATTCATCAGTGAAATATCATGCAGCCGTCTCAGTGTGCCTTTACACTGACATGAAAAGAGTGCTAGGATGTTCAAGGGAGAAGAGAAGTGTCGAATAATGTATATCATTCACTACCTCTGTGTAAGAAGGGAGGAAATGAGTATATTTATATACAGGCATATATATTTATATATCTACGTTCATATTTTCAGGTATGAAAACTGGAAGGATGTACAAGAAACGAAAGTATGACCTGTATGAAGTCACAGAGGGACAGACAGTGGTTGAAGCAAAATCTCTTAGTGCATTTTTTAGAGTGTTTGATATTTGAACCACGCTAAAGTATTATCTGACAATTTTTATATGGTCATGCTATGCATATTATTTTCTCAACAACACTTTCTGATTAATTTTCCATTTCTTTAAACAATCTACATTTTTTGAAGATGCATAGTAGACAATCATATGACATCCTTCATTTTATTTTTTAGTTTCTTATTGGTGTTTGGGTTACTTTGGTGCTGCTATAAATGGTGCTACAGAAAATGAACATCTTTGCACATAAATCTTAGTTCATTCCTTTCGTTTTCTTAGGAAATCAATGGGTGGAATGGTGAGAACACTTTCCTGGCTGCAGCATGTTCTCCCTTGTGTTGTGGGCTCTGTGATGGCTCCTCACTGCAGTGATCTGGGACAGCAGCGCTGGAGCTCAGGAACTCTTTCAGTCACTTGCTGGCCTCCACCCCAGTGCATATGAGAATTATTGAAGGAGGTTTTCAAATTCTGATTCTTGGTCTGTGATGAAGACCGGGCCTCAGTGGTTTATAAAGGGTCCCAAGATGAGAGCCGCTGGGATAATGGATAGAGCAGCAGGTCTTAAGTCAGGCAGAACTGGAGTCATGTGGACTTGGGCACTACTCCATGTTTAATATCAAGCATATTTCTTAGCCTCTCTGGGACCTAGTCTTCTCATCAGCAAAATGAGTGCGATATCCATACTGAGCACACTGAGAGAATTAAACATAAGGCACATGAACTGCCTAGCTGAATTCCTTATGCTCACTCAGTGGTAGGTGCTTGCCATTATTCAAAGACAGCAAAAGACAGCAAACAAGCAAAAAATAGCATAACAGAACATGACAGAGTCCATTCATTTACTGAGATAAGATTTTATGGCTGATGAGAATATTGAATTTCTAGCCTTTTGGGTGAATTGTATGATGATGGTATAGTATCTCTGGTTATCTCCTATTACTAAGATTTTCTAATTGGCAGTTATAGAGGACTTTGATTAATATAAAGGGAGGAGTCTAATATTACTCAATTATGACCTGCTTGATTGACAGAAAGCCTTAACAGATGAAGTGTCTTAAGGAAGGGATCCAAACAGTAGAGAGAATTCATAATTGGGAAATTCTGCGAATTGTTGCCTTGAGGTTTCCCTTTGTTACAGTGGAGAAGTGTCTGGAGACTGTAGCTCTATAAAGATATTGAGACACGAGTGTTTCTATGTGGAATTTTGTAAATGTTTGCCTAGTTTTCCATTGCATACCTGAGGATGCAACCTGTTGTTCTGGTATTCATTTTATCCAACACAATGCCGTGGACTCCAATCACAGAAGTCCTAACTGTGGGTGGAGGTCAGCATACACAAGTCTTCCCAGCATAAAAATTGTGTGGCAGGTTGGCCTATGACCCTCAAATTGTCTAAACAGCATAGGAGCAAGGAGAGGAAGTATGGACAGGTGAAGAGGCAGGTCTCTCCACCAGCTCTTAGTCTAATAAGGAAAGAAATTTTCCCATTTTAATTGAAAATGAAGTTACCTCTTTCTACTCTAGTAGCAAATAAAGAATTTAAAAGCAGAGCTCCTGCAGCCAGCCCTCTTGCTTTCCAACCCCAGCTCTGTTTCTTATTAGATATGTAACTAAGGGGACGTTCTTTTCCTCTCTTTGCCTCAGTTTCCCCATCTATAAAAAAGAGATAATTGTACATTTCTCACTGGGTTCTTTTGAGAGTTAAACAAGTTAATTTGTACTTAGACCTGTACTATCAAACACTATCCCAGCACTTGCTAGTATTACTTCATTAGGATGTTAATCATTGAATTTGTAAATCACACTAGAAATGGTATGATTTAATTTGAAAGTTTTCTTCTAACGCTGGGTAAATCTAGGCAATGTGACATTGTTGAGAACAAATGAAACAGCTACTTAGAGCCAGACCAAGGAACCGAGGCTCTAACTATGGGCTGTGAAATGAAACTTCTGGGTCAGTGTTTCTCCCACCACACCACATGGCAATCATGTGTGGAGGAAAAGCACGTGACCAAAAAGGATGTATAACCTAGCTCCTACTTCATAAATGCACCTGGACCTAACAGAGGGTTACACATTTGATTCTGAGTTCCTCTGGGCCCATTCAGTGTAGGGAAGGAGCTGGGGTGTCAGAATGGTGCACCCAGAGAGCACCACCAACGGGCCTGCTCTGCACGAGACTCTCAGTCCATTTCAGTAGCATCCCCCAAAAGAGCAGTTGCCAACCTAGAACACACTCATAGAATAAAGTAGGATTTCCATAGTGTTGATAAGAAAGGGAGCAACTATGGTAATAACAGAGTATATACATGAGGAGAAAACACAGATGTGCCCACAAGTCCTTAAGAAAATTCTCACTGACTCCTTGGAGGATGGCTCTAGTAGAGAAGCAGTGCATGTTTTATTTGTTTTGTTTCCTCTGGTTGACAGTGGGTGAAGGAAAGGCCACATGATATTGGGTAACAAAATTCTGGCTCTGAATTCAGAGAGACCTGCCTCTAAATGACTGTTACTTACAAAATAGTCACATTGAGCGAGAACTTCATCTCTCCAAAGCTATGCACTGTGGGCTATAATTGTACCTACCTCTGGTGGCTATTAGAGGGTTAACAGGGTTGCCTGGTGCATAGCAGAAAATCAGAGTTCCTATTCTGCCCACAGCTAACCACTCTGTTGGGAAATAAGATTATATGCGACTCTCTGTGTTTTTGTGTTGTGTAATATATACTATTCAAAAGTAGAACTGCTAAGAGGGGATGCTAATGCTGTTGAGGGCTTGCAAGTACCAGGCATTATTAACTCATCTAATCTACACAACTCCAGGAGACAGGGCACTGTAACTCCATTCTACAGATGAGGAGGTTATGGCAAAAAGACTTCAAATAGCTTGCCTGAGGTCACACAGATGCTAATACTAGACCCAGGATTCAAACCCAGGCACTCGGGGCTCGGAGTCCAGGGGCTTAACCCCTCCACTGTGATGCCTCGATGCAAGTGCAGGTCTCACGGGGTTAGTGTGAGGATCAGGTAAGACAGTGCTTGTGAAACACTAGTGTAGAGTTGAGCAAACACAGTGCAAGTTGTGCTAGATGTTATACTGACACCTTCAGCATGTCCCAAACCAAATGATTGTGAATCTGGTGACCTTTGAAAGAGAATAACCTGGGTGACTTTATTTGACTGTGGCTCCTTTTGGAGCCAGTGCCCCAAAGAAAGCACCAGGACCACCATCTCAGGGAAAGAATTAGAACTTTGGTATTGACCATCATCACAGCCAACACTGGAGTTCATAGCTCAGGTGTCACACTGCTTCTTACCTTGGACTTTCAGTTAGATTTCATCAAAACACAAATAGAGAAATGCAGACTTTTGGTTTTTTTATTGTGCCTATTATGAAAAGCAAAATACAGAATTTAAGCAGCAAAGATGATGGCTTCATGGTGTGTGAAATGGAAGGCTTCAAGTCAGTCCTGGTTAAATGGCCCTAGCGACGTGACTAGAGCTGCATGCTGTCTGTACTCAGAAGGCATGGGTATTCGGGTTGCCTGGAGCAGCTGATGGAGATCATGGAAAGAGTGTTGCTAAAGGACTATCCCTTGGCTCTGGCCCTGAGTAATGGCAGAACTCACTGTTATTACAGAGTAAGATTTTCTGTTTGCCCAGTGGCTTAGAAAACCATTTTGTAATATCGACATAATAGAAAAATACACATGTGAACTGAAATAACCCAAACTCAGAGAGAAAACCCAGCTAGATCTTCAGGATACACTTTTAAGGAGAATAAACAATGGAGAAAAGTTGTCTTCTTTGTGCCACCATCCGTTATGAACTCTTTCCATTGCCACAGACTGCTGTTCTCCTAAACAGGCAGAAGGCGATGCTGGCAGAGTAGCCCACGCTCATGATGAGGAGGAGGAGGTAGGCGTAACAGGCCAAAGTGCTGCTGAGCTGCAGCTGCAGGGCATCTAAGAGAAGTCATTTGATTAATTTTGACTGTTCTTTTGAAAGTATAGGACATATTAATGGGAGCGTGTTCACAGTTATCTATTTCTGATGACCTACCTTGTAGTGACACTCCACACCACCAAAACCCAAAAGTAAACATCTACCCCCACCATCTCCACAGACAAAAACAAGACGACTCAGAATCCAGTTTACAGATCATGTCAATCAACGGTCTCTGCTAAATTCACTTAGAACATTCCAAAATATGAAAAGTAAGGTTGCGTTTTTAATGAATATGTCCAATGGGAATAAAGTATTTGTGATGAATAGTTTTCAGCATTTCTTCACCACCATCATGTCTCTAAGTGATAATAATAACGAATCTTCATTAACCACTAACCAAATCCCAAACACCTGTTCAGAGAGCTTTGCATGCAAAGCTATAACATTATTTAAGTTTAAAATAATCTATGAAATCATTATTGTCACTCCCATTTTTCAAATAACCTAAAGACAGAGAGAGGTAATTTGTCTGATGTCATGCATTTAGTAAGTATCAGAAACCAAATTTCAATCCAAGCAATATCACTTTAAAGAATGCACTCTTAAGTACTCTGTGATTCTGTATCTCCAGTGCAATAAATATGCCAGACATCAAAAGGTTAAGCATAAATATGAAGTTGAATTCTGATTTAGAAGAATCTGAGCTAATAGACGTTATGTATTCAATGAGATTCCTGTGAAGAGTGCAATCCACGGAAATTGGATCATGCTCACAAAGGGGTGTGTGAGAGATTTGAGTAAAAAAGGCCTTATATAAAATGGAAGAGAGTGGTTAATCCCAAGTCTCGGAAACTTTAGGATTCCTTGGCTCACTCACCTGTCCTTCCTAAATGTCCCTCATTCTGGGTATGATGTTATAGAATAATTGCACTTAATACCCTTTGAAGGTTTGCAAAAAATATATATGGTTAAGAAATAATTAATGACAATGATGATGAGCCAGACTGGGTATTCAATGAACCACAAGGCTGAGTCTCTTCCTGTGGAAATTTTCCTTTTACATGTTTTATCTTCACAGAGTAAAATTTCAGAATCATTTGCAGTCTCTGTGGAAAGGGATCTCAGAGGTCATGTGCTCATAACTCCTTGCCTTTGGCCAGGTAGGGTATTAGCTGAGGTCCAGAGCCCCCTTGATATTGCAAATGGAGGGAAGATCAGCAGGGCTAGAGCCAATGCTTCCAGTCAATATACTTGTACATATGTAGCAATAAAGAGCTGGAAACTAGTACTGATTCTGTACCAGCTAAATGAGATGCTCTATGCTAGACATTCCATCTAGGTGGCTTTATGTCTGCAATAACTGAGTTAGGGGTAATTATTCCTGGTTGGCAGATGAGGAAAGTGTGCCTTACAAAATGTAAGTAACTTTCCTATATTGATGCAACTAATCATTAAAAGAACTAGAATCAAATCCAGTCTGGGATACTGTGAAGCTCATGCTCTCACCCACCCCCCATCATCATGTCTCAGGGCCTCGCTTTGGGGTTTCTTGCCCTGGAACTAGAATATCTTAGAGAAAGAAGAGAGAACCTAGTAAGTGTATGAACTCTTGATTCAGATGGCTGGGTTGAAACCCCAGATCCAACTGCGTGCCATGGTGTAGGAACCTTTATTAATTTTAGCTCATTGTCCTCATTTATAAATGGGGAAAACTTACTGTATCCTCTCATAGGAGTATTTTGAGATTTAAACAAGAAAATGCATGCAGAACCCAGCACAATGCCTTCTGTATAGGAAGCTCTCAGTGCAAGTCAGTTCATGTTATTAACTACTAGCAAGGAGCAAATACTTAAAAAAAATCTAGGGGCTGGCCCGGTGGGGTGCTGGTTAAGTTTGTGTGCTCTGCTGGTGTGGCCAGGAGTTCACAGTTTCAGATCCTGGGCACGGACCTAGCACTCCTCCTAAAGCCATGCTGTGGCCACATCCCACATAAAATAGAGGAAGATTGGCACAAATGGTAGCTCAGCAATGGGCTTCTTCAAGCAATAAGAGGAAGGTTGGCAACAGATATTAGCTCAGGGCCAATCTTCCTCACACACACATATAAAAAAATCTGGAAGCACCTTGATATCATGTATTCCTCAGTCATCAGAAACAAAAGGTACACAAATGCATGAAGCCCATCCTTGAAATAATTCAGAGAGCCTATCACTGCACACTCTAATTTACAGTCATTTCATCCTGAAAGCACTTTTTAGTTTCTTAAGGAAATGATGGATTGTTTTAAGCTATCACTCATTCTACTCTTCAACATACAGTCATTCTAGTGTTTCTACCATAAGTAATGGATGTTGAAAAGTTAAGTTGATCAGGAAGAAAAATTGCTATAGCGTGACATAAAGGGAGACGTATACAAAAACTTACTGCTCTCATCTTTCAGACAAGCTTCTGTCAAATTAATAGCCATGACCTCTAGAAGAAATGTGAGAAAGTATTAGTCAATTGTTCATGCCTATTATTGGAAAATTGATATATACACATATATCGCATATATACACATATCGCATATACACACATATATGTATATAAAACCTGTCAACAGAGAGACAGGAGAGATTTCATTAAAAATATGAGCCAAACGATTCCAGGAATAATTGGACTAATCTACTATGTACCAGGGAGTTCAAAAGGTAATTTTATCAGAAGGGAAAAAATTGCTAGCGTGACATAAAGGCAGGCATATACACAAACTTACTGCTTTCCTCTGCTGGAGAAGCTGTTGTAGAATTAGAAGCAGTGACAACTAGAAGAAATGAGATCAAATATTAGTCAACTGTCCATACGCATTATTTGACAGTGTCTGTGTACATATAGGTATATGTGTGTATATACGTATATAATCTGCTGACAGACAAGAGAGACAGTCACTAAAAGTCTGAAAATTATGAGCCCCACAATTCCAGGAGTAATTGGTCTTTTCTACTTTAAGCCTGAGAAGTTCTAATGTTAAGTTGATCAGGAGGGGAAAAAAACCCCATAGCATGACATAGAGGCAAGTATAGAAAATAACTTACTTCTTTTCTCTTTCAGAGAAGGCTTGGAAGAATCAATAGTAGTGACAATTGAGACGAGAACTAGAAGAAAGGGGAGCAAGTGTCAGTCAATTATTCATGACCGTTATTCGACAGTGTGCGTATCTGTTTATATGAGTATTTGTAAATGCACATACACACACACACACACAATCCACTGACAGAGAGACCATCCTTAAAAATATGAGTCCTACAATTCCAGGAATAGTTCATCTGATTCTATATAATTCAGTAGATCTAATTTATGTACCGTGTTTCTGCACAGGAAGATGTTGACCTTCATGACAAAGGCAATTTTTTCTTCTTTATCACAACTGGAGGGTAATATCCAAGACTATCTTGTTTTCCTTATGTATTCACAGCTCCTAGCACAGTGACTGCCACAAAGGAGGTGTTGGAGAAACATTTGTAGAATGGTAAAATGCACAGAAAATGTGGCTACTCTGCAGTCTTCAGCAAACACTGCTGACGTGAAAAGTTGCTACCAAAATCAATTCATGAAATCTTAGAATTCATCAGAAAATCTGATGTTGGAAAAAATCTGGTTTTGGACAATGTGTCAGTGAAGAAAAGGAAAGCATCCATATCTTTCCAAATCATGCATATCCCCATATTCCCAACTCATGCACATGATTTTCTGAACGTGTGATGTTTGTTGATGTGACAATATGAATAGAACAATATGAATAAAAGCTGATAGCTATTGAGTGATTATTCCTGTGCCAGGTACTATGTTAAATGCTTCACATGCGTTATCTTGTTTAATGCTCCAGTCACACTGAAGTGAATTATATTTTGGAGGATTCTTTGTTACAAAGGAGTGAATAAGTTGGGAATATCACTAACTTGCTGAGAGTCATACCAGTGATGGCAGAGCCAGCATTCAAAGGATCTTTTGCGGAATTAATTGAGATACAGTATGTGGAAATTACTTCATAAAAATAATTCACAGAGAACCAGCCCTGATGGCCTAGTGGCTGAAGTTCAGTGCTCCCTGCTTTGGGGGCCCATGTTGGCCTCCTGGTCAAGGAACCACATCACCTGTCTGTCAGTAGCTGTGCTGTGGTGGTGGCTAACATAGAAGAACTAGAATGGTTTACAACTTGAATATACAACCATTTACTCGGGCTTTAGGGCGGGAAAAAGAAAAGAGGAAGGTTGGCAGTAGATGTTAGCTCAGGGAGAAGTTTTCCCTCCAAAAATAAAAAGTAAATAATAATCCATAGAAATAGAACATAATATATAGATAAGCAACATAATTCTACCATTATGGACACTAAAAACATTTTCTCTTCTAGATATCTTAATTATTCTTAGTGAATGACCTTTTTATTACAGGAGCTCAGCATTCCAGTGCGTCTTTCCTAAGGTAGAAGGATAGACCAAGTCATATTATGTAAAACATGAGGTGAGACTTATGTACAATGCAAAAAAAAAAAAAAAAAAAACAAAAAAGAGAAGGAAATCATGCAAAGATAACTTTTTTTTTAAAGATAATTTACTGTTGGATGGAGGAAAATAGAGTTAAAACAATTGTTTTGCTTTATCCTTTTTCTACTTGATGTGTTCTTGTCCATATGGATACGGTTCTGGCATGAAATTTTATGCACACAATGAGCTCTTTTCTACGGAGGCTAGAAAAATGGGTTTGAAGTATAAGATTTAGAATTTAGAATTCCAAGAAGGAAAATGCTAGCATAATCAGGATTATGTGTTATAATATCTTCAAGAATTGAAATTAGTGTGTTTTAAAACTCTCTTCCTTTTCCTTAGTGGTGACTTACTCATCAAAAGATAAATAAAACTCTTATTATCATGCATTAATTGAGGTAAAAACAATAAAGTAACGGTTTTTCATAATAAAATCTGTGTATGTATCCTAAGTTCTCTCTTTCAACCAAGCTTGGTCAAAATCTTGGATCAGACTAGTTTTATCTTCTTCAAAATCCCTTCATTGTTTTGTGACTCCAAGTAATATTCTTAGCTTTTATCAAAAACAAAATTTTCCAAGAAGCAGGATTAGAAACGTGCTGTAGAATGGCATTAACAGAAATGTCCTCATTAGCTTTGTTGCCCTGAGAAGCCCATGGGAGACATTTGTTTCAGAAATTAGGAGCCAAGTAAAATACATTATGAACTGGAACTTCTCAATGATAATCATCTCCACGGAACTTACTGTACTTCTTATTTTTTCCTGATCACCAGAAAAATCACAACCTAACAGGACTTTTCAGCTCAGTGGTCATATTAAACTTGTGCTTTGCATATCTGCTTCCCTTCTGTTCTTTAGCTATAGAAACAGTAAATTAGGGCTGTTTTTTAAATCTTACGTTAGTGAGTTTGGGGAAAAGATATTTAAAAATGCTACAAATACGTAAATTAATACATCCATGTTAGGTTTTCAAAAGCAAGTATTTCCTTTGACATTATTTCATTTGCTCTTCATTATGGCCCCAGGAGAAAGCCAAGGCAAGCATTCGAACATAATTTGATCACTGATGAAACTACAGATCTGAGAGATGAAGACCGACTTCAGAAATTCCGACGGGTGCACAGCAGAGGTCTTTGCACATTTTGTTCTGTGCTTGTTCCCCACGGCTTCCAAAGGGCTTGCTAACTACAGGGAAAAGTACGAACTGATTCCCTCTTATTTATAGGTGCTCTGGGGCCTTTGGTCTGTTGTGTTCATACTCAGACTTTAAGTCCGGAGTCTAGAGAGTTATGAGACCACTGCTGGGAACAAGGCCCATTCAGCTCTCTGCCCACACTCTCTAAATATGTACAGCATCTGCATCAAAGGGATTCGTTTGGGACATCATGACTGAATCAGACTGACCCTGAGTGATTAGGAAAAGAATGTATTCTCTTACAATAGTGCATCATCCTTGGGACAATATTGCATCCAGTGTGCTAACCCACACATCACTTCCAGGCCTGATACAGGCTAGTTCTGCAATAAATGTTTGTTGAGCTACATTTACAAATGGCAAGAAATACATTCATTATACAGAATGGAAGAATGTCTGTCCACATTAGCCTCACCCAATCTCTAATTATGAAACTTTACCTTATGATGGTATATAAAATACAAATCTGGAAACCCTAAGAGTGTAATAAATCTCCAGTCACCAAATTACTTGATTTTCTGTTGAGCTGCCATTTGGCTCCACCAAATGAACACAATTTTTTCACCTAATAGCTATGTTTTGGGTTTGTACTCTGAGTATAGCAAGATGAAAGTGAGAGTGACTCTGCTGATAACTAGAACATTCCTGAAAGACATATAATTATACTTATTTCCTGATCAAATAAGATCATCAAAAGGGGAATCTTGTTTTAGAATTTCTTGTGTTCTGGGTTCTTAGGTGCTTTCACAAATGTTGCTTCATTTAATCCATACAACTACCCTAAAAAATATCACTGAGATCTTAATATTTTGGTTTATTAAATCGAAGTTAAGAAAAGTTAAGGAAAATTTTCTTTCTCTTTTTTATGTTCTAAAGCCTTAACTATTTTAACTTTATGGGAAAATAGAGGGACATTTATGCTACCAATAAATGGAACAAGATTTAAGAAATATTTATATTTCTTCATTTTTCATTAATACTTGACGGAAAAGCTGGGATTTTTCCTTTGAAAAAAAGTGTTCTGGGAGGTCGTATTTACATATACATACCTTTGATCACTGAAGGAAAAGCAATCTCTTGGTCAACCCCTCCTTTATTTTTCTCGTGTTGGACAATGCATTTGTGTTCTTTATCCATTGACTTTTCAGTCACGGTCAGCCAGCTGAGTTTCATGTATGTGTCATTAGTCTTCATGGTATTTCCTTGCTGGGATTGCAGAATTGTATGGCCATCCTTTTCTTTCCAATATACATTGATAACATCAGGGAAGAATTTCTCAAGAAGACAAAGATATGTCCCAGTCTTATGGAGGTTGATTTCAGCAATTGAAGGAAGAAACATAATGGGCTTGGGGGAAATGTCTGCAGGAAGGCGTTTATCTGTGGGGGAAAACAGAAAAACAATTAAAAAGAATCGTCAGAGAAGCGCAAATATCGTGGAACAACCTAGTGCATAGTAAAAGGAAGAAAAGCTAACGTTTAATTAGTGCTTACCATGGCCTTTCATCAACCATAGATTGTGAGGTATTTATTGTTATTTTCAATGGGAAGAGAGGTTCCAGAGGTTATGTAACTTGCCCAGAGTCATGGCTGGTTTGTGGCAGAGCCTGGATTTCAACTTGGCCTTTGTTCTTTCTCCACATGCTAAGATGTTTTTTGACTTTTAACATCAATGTTAACATTTCAAGACTTTTAACATCAATGAACACGTGTTTTTTACATTCTTTTTTGTTCCATCATAGTGGAGCATGTTTTCAAGGTGGATGGGCAGGTGGCAGGCGTGGGGGAGGATACCAGGTAACTTTGATGATGTCTCTACACATGAGAATGTCTGGTCCTTTCTAAAGTACTTCCCTTTTCCTATCCTGTGAATTTTGTTACTTACGCTCTTTTGAACAAAGAACACTTTGTCATGTTCTGGTTGACTCTTCCTTTTATGAACAATTTCTCTGTAGCATGTGATGCTGTTTGATACCATTTTACCCACAGTAGATCTTCTTTCAAAATTAGAGTCAATCCTCTCAAACCCTGCTACTGCTTTATCAACTAAGTTTACGTAATGTTCTAAATCCTCATTGTCATTTCACAGTCTCCACAGTGTCTTCCCCAAGAAGAGATTCCATCTCAAGAAACCAGTTCCTTGCTCATCCGTAAAAAGAAACTCCTCAATCATTAAATTTTGTCATAGATTGCAGCAATTCAGGCTCTACTTCTAATTCTACTTCTCTTGCTATTTCCGCCATGTCTGCAAGCACTTCCTCCACTGAAGTCTTGAATTCCTCAAAGTCATCCATGACGGTTGGAAACAACCTCTTCCAAACTTCTGTTAAAGTTGATATTTGACCACTTTCAATGAGTGATGAATGTTCTTAATAACATCTAGAATGGTGAATCCTTTCTAGAAGGCTTTCAATTTACTTTGCCCAGATCCATCAGAGGAATCACCATCTACGGCAGTTATAGCCTTACGAAGCGTATTTCTTAAATAATAATATTTGGAATTCAAAATTACTCCTAGATCTATGGACTGAAGAATGGAGTTTATGTTAGCAGGCATGGAAACGAGGTGCATCTCGTTGTGCACCTCCGTCAGAACTCTTGGGTGACCAGGTACACTGTCAATGAGCAGTAATGCTTTGAAAGGAATCTTCTCTTCTGAGCAGTAGATCTCAAGGGTGGGCTTAAAATATTCATTAATCCATGTTGTAAACAGATGTGTTGTCACCCAAGTTTTATTGTTTCATTTATGAAACACAAGCAGAATAGATTTAGCATCATTCTTAAGGGCCCTAGGATTTTCAGAGTGGTAGGTGAACATAAAGTCATCAGCTGCATTAACTCCTAACAAGAGAGTCAACCTGTCCTTTGAAACTTGAAGCCCAGTGTTGAGTTCTCTTCTCTAGCTATGAAAGTCCTAGATGGCGTCTTCTTCCAACATAAAGCTGTTTCATCTATGTTGAAAGTCTGTCATTTAGTGTAGCCACCTTCAGGAATTATCTCAGTTAGACCTTCTGGATAATGTGCTACACTTTCTTCATCAGCACTTTCTGCTTCATCTTGCACTTCTGTTATGGAGACAGCTTCCTTAAACCTCATGAATCGACCATTCTTAGTGTCAAACTTTTCCTCTGTAGTTTCCTCACTTCTCTCATCATTGATAGAACTGAAGAGAGTTAGGAGCTTGATCTGGATTAAGATATGATTTAAGAGAATATTGTGGCTGTTTTGATCTATCTAGACTGCTAAAGTTTTCTCCATATCAGCAATAAGACCGTTTTGCTTTCTTCTCCTGTCTGTGTTCACTGGAGTAGCACTTTTCATTTCCTTCAAGAACTTTTCCTTTACAGTCACAACTTGGCTAAATGGCACAAGAGGCCTATCTTTTGGCTTATCTCAGTTTTCAGTGTGCCTTCCTCACTAGGCTTGTTCATTTCTAGCCTTTAATTTAAAATGAGTGACATGCAGCTCTTTCTTTCGCTTGAAGCCTTAGAGGCCATTGTAGGGTGATTAATTGACCTATTTCAATATTGTTGGATCTCAGGGAACAGGGAGGCCCAAGTAGAGGGAGAGAGATGGGGGAAGTCAGTGGAGCAGTCGGAACACACACATTTATCAATTCACTTCGCTATCTTATATGGGCCTGGTTCATGGTGCCCCAAAACAATTACAATTGTAACATCAGAGATCACTGATCACAGATCACCATAACAAATATACTAATAATGAAAAGACTTGAAATATTGTGAGAATTTATAAAATGTGACAAAAGAGAAATGAAGTGGGCAAATGCTCTTGGAAAAAATGGTGCTGATACACTAGCTCGCCTCAGAGTTGCAACACACCTTCGATTTTTATAAAATGCAATATCTGTGAAGTGCAATAAAGCAGAGTGCAATAAAATAAGCTATGTCTGTGCTTGTGGATTTGATTTCAAGTCTTCTCAAATAGATTTTGGAAATAGTTAAAATAAATGACAAATAGTTTGTGCATTATAGCTTATTTCTTTTTCTGCCCCAGTAGTTAAAAGTTTAGTAAGGGCTAACTCAAATGTGACATAAGAGTTGGGAGAACAATGTTTGCAAATCCTAGTTGTGTGATATAAACACAAAACACGCAGAATTCAAACAGACTGAAAGTGCTAGAAGACATGGTGAGGCCCTCTTTCCCCAAATAATCCATTGGTAACCTTATGTTTCAGTGCTTGTGCAACCTCTCATATTAAAAGATACCTTTCTAATGCTCTGCTGTGATAAAAAGTACTGCTTGGATAAGATCTCCTCCTGAAATGAGCTCAATTAATGCTAGTTTTGGAGCTAACACTGGTGAAAGAAAATAAAGAAGTTGAACATGGATTTGGTAAATATTGCTTGGGAATAAAATATCAAATAAATTAAATATCTAAACTTCATTACAAACATTTCAATAGAGAAGTACCACATGAACGTAACATCTCAACCTTTTAGGGGCTCACAATTGTCCTAACTAGTTAACTCCCTGCTAATGTTCTCCTTGCTACATCAGGCAGCGAACAACGCCCAAGGACCTGGTTGGAGTTAGAGTATTTACCCACTAGACTAAAAGTTTGTGGAATATTGAGACTTTTTCTAGCTTTATCTTCTTCCCTCATTTATCCTCAGTAACCAGCACCGAAATTGTCTTCAGTGAGTGTTTGCTGACAGAATGAGTGAGCACATGAAGATGTAAAACCATATAGACCATTTCACTGACTTTGGAGATGAAACGGCTTATTGAGTTTGCAAATTCCCTTAAAATGGCCATCTTTGGGCAATTAATCAAGAGTTGTGATAGTATAAACTTTGACTGATCTCTGCCCACCTCTAAGAACCTAGAATAACATGAAGTGAGATTTCTTGATGTTTTATAGTCATTTAAATTAAGAATTAATGTTTTGCACTGCTGTTAGGGATGGGATGAAAACTAATAAGAGGTTTTACCGGTTATTGTGAGAAAGGAGCACTATGTTATATCTCAAAATATAGAGACAAGGTAATTAATAAAAGTGTCTCTCACTTAAAAATTGGTCTACAAGAAAAGTGTCTTGAGTCAATAACTTATAACAATGGCTTGCAGATATGGTCCAAAAAAATCTGAACTGCTAGCTTGTCTATCGTTTTTTTTTATGCGTGTGTATTCTAAAAGTAGAATTTCAATCTGTTTACAAGCAGGGACACGAACAAACCATTTACGGAGTAGTTATGTTTTCCTTTACAGTGACCAGTAGCTGCAAACTTGCTGTTCATATGCTGAGGTCAAGTATGAGGCAGTCAGATAAGGGTGATTCTAACGTGTTTTTTCCCAAAAAGCATCTATCAGTTGTTCATTACTAGGGGAAAAATAGAAAAAAAGTTACTTACCAGAGGGAGTTACTACGAGCTTAGTCCCTTTTCCAAATTTCTTGATCCAGCTTGAGCTATCACACTGCTTACAGCTTCTACAAAAACTCAGCCTCCTCCTAAGTTTCATGATGTAACTGGCAGTTAAAAAACTGTGTACCGGCAATGTGATCTTCTGAGTTCCTTTGGAAGTCTTTGAATATAGGTTTTGTGGCATCACATATTTCATAAGTGTTCCTCAGATGAATTGACCAAAATGTCTGTTTTCCACCAAGAGACTAATCATTGAAAATAATTGATAGAAAATGGAAAGAATAAGAGCAGAAAAACAAGAGATCAGGCCCAGCTGATCATACAACTACTTTTACAAATTACTAGGAAAAGCATTCAGAGAATTAAGATTTTTTTTAAATTTCCAGGTGCTATTGTGTTGAAACTGCTCAGAGATTATATCAAAGGAAAGGCCCTTTTGTTCTAAAAAACACCAGGTCTGCTTTGTTAGCAATTTGGGGATGTATTTCTGAAAGGAAGAAAGCGTTCAGTAATCAAAATGGAAATATGTCAATAAGAATATACTTGAGAAACATGAAGAAATTTCTTTATTTTTATTAAAGTCACTTTTACCATTTGACAATGATTCCTTACCAAGCAAGGCCAAAGGAGAAAATGAATTCTGTGATGACATTACTTTCCCTGGAATAAAAGAAGAAATTCATTGAATTATATCTCCTATGAAATAATACATTCTTTATTTGAACCCAAATTTGAAATGACGTCAAGCATATTTTCTGATCACGTGATGTGAAACTAGAAATCAACTAGAGAAAAAAGCTGGAAAAGTTACATATATGCTACTGAATAACTATTGGATCAATGAAGAAATTAAAAAATATCTAAATTCGAATGCAAGTGAAACACAACATACCAAAATCTACGGGATGCAGCAAGTGTGGCACTAAGAGCAATGTCTATAGCAATGCAGCCCTAGCTCTAAACACAAGAAAAATCTCAAATAAATCCCTTAACATCACACCTAAAGGAACTAGAAAAAGAAGAACAAATGAAGCCCAAAATCAGTAGAAGGGAGGATATGATAAAAATCTGACTGGAATTTAATAAAATAGAGACTAAAAAGAAAATGGAAAAGATTGATGAAACTAAGAGCTGATTCTTTGAAAAGATAAACAAAACTGATAAAACTTTGCTAGGCTTTAAGAAAAAAAGAGAGGTCTCAAATAAATAAAATCAAAAATGAAAAAGGAGACATTACATCAGATATCACAGAACTACAAAGGATTATAAGAGAATAATTTGAAAACACATTTGCAAACAAATTGAATAGACTAGAAGAGATGGATAAATTCCCAGAATCATACAACCTCCCCAAACTGAATTAAGATGAAACAACAAATCTGACTAGACCAATCACTTGCAAGGAAATTGATACCATTATAAAAAACCTTGGAAAATATAAAATTCCAGGATGAGATGACTTCTCTGGTGAATTCTACCAAACATTCAAAGAAGACTTACTACCCATCCTTCTTAAACTTTTCCAAAGTACTGAAGAGAAGAGGATATTTCCTAACTCAGTCTACAAGTTCAACATAGCTCTGACACCAAAAACAGACAAGGAAGACACAAAAAAAGAAAATTACAGGCCAATACTGTTGATGAACATAGATGCAAAAATTCTCAACAGAATTTTAGCAAGTTGAATACAGCAATATATGAAAAGTATCATGCATCATGATCAAGTGGAATTTCTTGCAGTTTTGCAAGTAGGATTCAACATCCATAAATCAATCAGTGTATTACACTTCATTAAAAAATGAAGAGGAAAATTATATGATCATTTCAATAGATACAGAGAAAGCATTTGACAAGATTCAGCATCCATTTGTGATAAAAACTCTCAATTATGTGGGTATAGAAAGAAAATACCTCAACATAGTAAAGACTATATAAGTCAAACCCACAGCTAACATCATAGTCGTTGGTGAAAAACTGAAAGCTATTCCCCAGGAACGGGAGGAAAACAAGGATGCACACTTTTGTCACTCTTATTCAACATAGTGTTAGAAATCCTAGTGAGAGCAATTAGGCAAGAAAAGGAAATAAATGGTATCCAAATTGGAAAGGAAGAAGTAAAACTGTCACTATTTCTGGATGGCATCATTTTATGTATAGAAAAGCCTAAAGAATCCACCAGAAAACTGTTAGAAATAATGAATGAAGCTAGTAAAGTTGTAGGGTACAAAATCAACATATAAAAATCAATTTCGTTTCTATACATGAAAACAAACTAGCAGACAGAAAAATCAAGAATACAATTCCATTTACAAATGCAACAAAAAGATGAGAATACGTAGGAATAAATTTAACCAAGGAGGTGAAAGACCTGTACACTGAAAACTAAAAGACAATGTTGAAAGAAATTCAAGAAGGCACAAAGAAATGGAAAGATATTCTGTGCTCATGTATTGCAAGAATTAACATGCTTAAAATGTCCATACTACCTAAAGCAATCTAGATATTCAAGGCAATCCCAATCAGAATCCCAAGGACATTTTTAAGAGAAATAGAGCAAAGAATCCTAAAACTTATATGGAGCAAGAAAAGACCCCAATATAGGGAAAACAATCTCGAGAAAAAAGAACAAGGCTGGAGGTATCACACTCCTGAATTCAAAATATGCTACAAAACTATAATAATCAAAACAGTATGGTACTGGCAGAAAAACAGACACACAGATCAACAGAATAGAATTGAAAGCACAGAAATAAAACCACGTATCGATGGACAGCTAATCCTCAACAAACAAGCCAGGAACATACAATGGAGAAAGGAAATTCTCTTCAGTAAATTGTTAGGGAAACTGAACAACCACATGCAGAGGAATGAAAGTAGGTCATTATCTTACACCATATGGAAAAATCAACTCAAAATGGATTAAAGACTTAAACATAAGACCTGAAAACACAAAACTCCTAGAAGAAAACATAGGCAGTACACTCTTTGGCATCAGTCTTAGCAGTATCTTTTTGATTACCATGTCTCCCCAGGCAAGGGAAAAGAAGAAAAAATAAACAAGTGGGACTACATCAAACCAGGGGGCTGGAGGGCCAGAGGGCAGGATCAGGTCCTCCTGTTCTAGTGCTGTATCCTCAGAAATGGCAAGATAGGACATTGTGAAGGGTCAGCTGAAAAATGCATCTTAAATGAAGCTTTGAGAAATAGAGGCAGCCTTGACTTCCAACTTTAAGGAACTTTCTTTTTCAGTTATTATTAGTTATGCTAATTATCCTAATTAGTTATGCAAATTAACCCTGATGGCCAAGAAGAGAAAGCAGTTGGAAAGGGGTTTTGGCCTGGGGAGTGAAGTGTGGGTCCTTCAGCACCGAGTACCAGACCCAGTTCCTGAGCTCCTCTTCTATAGCATAAACTGAAAGTCCGACCTGCTCAGCTGTAACCAAGATTCAAGGCTCAAGTGTCTGTACATGTAGGCGGGCTTTTGGGTTGTGCTTAGTTGGTGAAGTGTTGGCCAAATATAAAGCGATCGAATACTTTGTTAATAGAATATTCCAGGGCTGTCATTTGCATCCTCTGTAGATCTCTTGCCCAGCCATAGTAAAGTGTTAAGTGGAAAAGAAAGTGACAATTTTGGAGACATCTGCATAGCAAAAAAAACAGGTGGAAAGAGTCTCAATATAGACGGTGAGCATTTGGACGGTGAAAAATTGGGTTAATTGTTCTCTATTTTTCTGTATTTTCTAGATTTTCACCATTAAGAAGACATTACTTTGAGGGAGAAAATCCACAAACATCTATTGTTTTATGAAAATAAATTTTATTTTGTGTTGTCACCATTGAATACAATGTTTCTCTCAATTCTAATTACAGCCATTTTTGTTCAATTACTGCTCAGATTAGAGTCTCAATAACAGTTGACAATAACTAGCCATAGATTTTAATGAAGTCTAACCTAAACCTCCAGCCATAGACCCTTTTCACTGTGTCCAATTACAAAAATAATACAATTTAGTAATGAGACTGATGTCTCCACTCAAGGGAACACAATCCATGGACAGGCGAGAATAGCGCCTCACAAACAGTGGAGCCCCCGTCCCAGGGATTGTGGGCAAGAGGAGCTCTATGGAGGCTTAGAAGCAGCAATGCAGAAACAGGCAGGATTAGCCAGGAGGGCAGGGACTGCCTTATAGGGCCAGCAGGTCAGTCAGGGAACAAGGAGTCAGCATTTGCATAAGGTGATTTGCAGGGGTTGCATATCTGACCTTATTTAGAACAGGGAAATCATCACAGATTCCTGGCAGGTGGGGACTGGCTGGCTGGATAGACTGCGTTTCTGAACAAGCGGAACATTTACAGACAAGAAGACAAGAAGAAGACATTGAGTATGATTTGCCTTAGGGATGTGTCTTAAGTCAGGAAATAGGAAGATTTTAGAATGAAATGTGTTATTGCCCTTGGTTATGGCGGTGCTGTGATTTACAAGGTGGGGGGCATAAGACAATACACTGATGTGTGGGAAGAAAGTGTTAGAACTACTATTTATATATGTTTTTATCACCTATGTTTAAATTATTTATTTTTGTGTGGTTTGTAAAGTACATAGTGCATTTCTACAATGGTTAATGTAACTTATTACTTTATAAATAAATAAATGAGCATATATTGGGGTTATTCATGCATAAAATAAAACCAAGAAAATTTTGAAAAAAAAATAAAGCAAGAAAACTTGCTTACCAAAAAAGGAAGAATGATAGTAAAGCTTACTACATAGAACAGTGTGCTCCTGGTACAAGAACAGACAAAATAGAAATTTGGTCCCATTCGTAAAGGTGAAGTTGTGCACACACAGTGCCTCCACCTCCAGCTGTTTCCTCAGAGACACTGTCACGTGTAAGTGGACACATGCAGTGAAAGGAAGACAGAGAGAGCAGGAAGGGCTGTGTGAGCCTCTGGAAACAGTTATCACTGGGGTGCCGATGAAAAACAGTGGGGGTAATGACAGATTAATCAATAATTTGGGGGAGAAATTGGATCTCCACATTCAGATTCCTACCTTACCCTCACACACAAAAATTCAATTCAAAGCAAATCAAAGAAATAAATGTGTAGAACAAAGCTTAACACTACTGGAAAAATATAAATGAGAATACCTTTATGCTTCAATGCAAGGATTAAGCTCTCTGAAAGCTGCAAAATATTAAATACATGGCCCCTTGTACAGTAGAGCAAGTTAAAGCTGGTTCATGCAGTGGACAATTCTTCTTGCCTGAGGTCACAGCAGTGAGAAGGAACTGGAGTTTCCACTTGCGGTTCTGGTGGAATTGCCATGGAGAAATGTGATGCCCTGTTAGAGCAGCAGCATCCAGGGTGCCATAAGAGAGGAGGCGTTTATGCCTTGGCAGCTCTGTTCACTCCCCATTGGAGAACCACACCACCTGTCTCTCAGTTCCCCACGCTGTGGCTCAGTTCATATAGAATAGCTAGAACAAATTACGACTAGCATATACAGTCATGTACTGTGATTTTGGGGCGCATAAAAAAATAGAGGAAGTGTGGCAACATATGTTAGCTCAGGCTGAATCTTTTCCTGCAAAAGAAGAAAATGAGGAAAAGAAGAGAGGAGGGGTCTGTGTGTTTTGAGGAGGTGCACATGCACCTTTCTAGAATGCTGTCTAGTGTCAGGCTGGAAACCAGCCCACTTCAGAGAGAGACAGGGCACCCTATCTGTTACTGATAGAACAGGAGTTCTTAAAAATCAATCTGAATAAGGAACATTGAAAAATACACCATTTCAGCCTTCATCCTAAAATTCTAATTTATTGTGTTCAGTGTTACCCAGGACTTGACTTTTATTCAAACCTACCAGCTGCTTCTGATGCAGCTGGTCCATGGACCACAGTTTGAGAAACACTGTTCTAGGAGCTTAAACTCTAAACTAGAGTCAAGCGAAGAGTTCTGGCACAAAGAAGGAGGATTCAATACACAAAAGACCATACACGTGTGAATCCAGCATTTCTCTGCTTCAGTGTTAATTTTATATCCTTAATCCTGGCCCAATACGGCAGGAACAACACTTTCTTACATGACTTTTCAATTCAAATATCTACTATTAATTGTCGGATTGCTCATCCAAAGTGTCCCTTAATTTTCTTAATGAGAAAAAATAATCTCACAAGACTATTCTAGTTTAGGACTTGGCCATGTCAATGTTGGGGGAGGGGTGAAAGGAGCTTTGGCTTTACTTGTTTAAGACAGAACAGTTCTGGCTGTGACTCCACTTCAAAACAAGGTGTGAGCACAATGCAACGGTTGGCATCTCTACAACAATCACTTTATTGCTACACTTTCACTGTCTCAAGAGTGCCATGGTTGGTTACGGTGAGGGAAAAATCAGTTTGCCAAGAGATAAATCGGATACCAGCTTGAGGTCTTCATGAAGTACAAAGTCTTCATTCCATCATTTCTCATTCTCCTGAGTAAGGTAGGAGCTCCTTTCCCAGCCATTTTCTCTGGGGAATGATTGGATAAATAATTCGGTACCATTAACTTTCCTATATTGCTCTCATGAATAACTCCACGAACACCTCAACTCTAGATGAACTTGTCTGTCCCAGGAAGCAGATTGAGTGGACTCCACCAGCTCCTAGGAGAGCTGAAAGAACATGCTGTCTGCCAGATTGCTTGCCTAAGGCCTGGAGATGAGAGAGCTACCTTTATGAATGTGCTGTGGCTCATTAGGGAAGGAGGGGGGAAAGTGGGATATAAGGGTGTGGGTTGAGCAGAGGGTCTCTCTTTTTTCAGAGCACAGTGAACTCAGGGCAGGAAGGGAGGCAGGTGCTGGTCTATCCTGTGTGACAAGAAAGCTGCTGGCAGCCACAAGCAAAATTTTCAGTGCAGAATAAGGGAGGTCTGAATCATTGTGCTTCTCCCAGACAGCACAGTAATACACACCAGAATCCCTTTCTTCCAGATTTCGGATTTCAATTTTACGGTTCTTCCCTGTGCCTTCATAGGTACGATATTTCTGTGAACTGATTCCTGGTTCCATCACAAATTTGGCGCTGTGGTAATGGTAGTACAAAAGTCGTTGTGGGGCCATCCCCTCCACGTATCGGTACCAGTGGACATAGGTGATGCTTTGTTTAAAATCACAGGTGATTACAACAGAGGACCCAGCCTGTTTGGTGACTGACATCTGTGTCCCTTCCAAGTTGGAAGATACTTGAGTGGCTGCAATGTGAACAACAAAAAGTAATGAGGAAGAGCTAATGCAATCCCTTAGTTTGGCCTCCCGTTGCCAAAAATAAAGAAAAATCCCAGGAAGATCCAGGCAGCACACTTACCAGGAGCCAGGAAAGCTAGAAGGAGGGTGAGAGCCTGCAGCATGGCTTCCTCCTCGGGCCTTAGAAGGAAAGGGACAGACGACAGGACCGGCAGACACCCTCTCACACTCCAGTCCTGCTCCAAAGACGGGAACCCCAGGACACAAGGATGAAGTCAGAGCCGGGCTCTGCACAGCTGTCACAGGCAGCAGGCAGTGAGGGGCTCTCCTAGAAGACCACCCAGCTGATGACCCAGAGTGGGTGGGGCTGGGGGAGGCCTGGGGAGGAGCCCTGCCTCTCTGCTCAGCCCATTTCCTGACAGCCTCCTGGGGCAGGCTGAGAGCAGGCCCTCTGCAGAAGAGGAGGAGCCAGGAGCCCTGAGAGCCCAGAGCAGAGGGAGGGACAGCCTGAGCCGATGGAGGGGGCAGGAGAGCCATGGATGCAGCTCCATGTTCCCTGGTGCAGGGAGCGGTCCTGAGTCAGGGGACTTCCCTGCAGCTCAGGGTTCAGTGTTCACACTGCTTCCATGGGCTTGTCCTGTGATGCAGCTTCTGTATTCTGGCCCTGAACCACCTTCCTTTCACATCTGTCAGTAAACTGTGAGGAACCCACAGCAAAGCTGACAAGCACTGAATCCGCTTTAGTAAAAGAAATTGGGGTCCGTTTTGTTGTTCTACATTTGACTCTCCTGAAAGTCAAATGCATGTGTGTGGGTATATGTCTCTGTGTGTGTGCGTTTGTGTGTGTCTGTCAAGGCAATTTGTTAGGTCATTTCTGTTCATCCTCAAGTAAAAAGGCCACCTCACATAGCGTTACCAGATTTAGTGAAGAAAAAAAAAGGGTGGTAGGTCATATTTGGGACACACGTAAGCTAAAAAATTGCTTGTTGTTTATCTCCAGTTCAGATTTCCTTAGTCATCCTTTGTTTAATTAGTACCCCTTCCCTCAGGAAGTGTCACCGTATCTGCAATTAACTTGCGTTCTTAGATGGGTAGAGAGTTGATTAAACAAGGATAGTGAAATCATGGGACTATTGAAGTGGTGAGTACACATATTTTCACCCCCTAGTTTTATAATGTCTTTGGATGCATGGTTACACTATTCATAGTAGAATGAAGAAAAATGCCCCCTCCATCATTGTTCTGGCCTCTCTCTCAGGTGGTTCATTTCTGCCGTCCTGACAGACAGCTGGGAAAGGAGGAAGGGACGGGACTCGGGCTGCTCTTCCTTCTGCCTTGGGGACCACACGTGCTGGGACATGAGGTGTTGCAGCAGCAGCTCTGCAAGAGAACATTCCAGGTCACTATGCAGGAAGCAGCTCAGTGCCACAGAGTCCCAGCACATGCCTGCTGGACAGAATTGTGGTTTAAAGCTAAGAAAGGAGAAAATGCCATCACACTAGAGTGGAAAGAAAATTATTTAAAAAGTAGTAAAAGAAAAATACTCCACAGAATGTAAAAATGACTGTAAAGCTACAGAAATGAAAAGAGGGCACTATCGACACCAGAATATATTCATGGTACATAATGGTGGGGGTGGGGGAGAGAGAGAAAGAAAGAAAGAGAAAGAGAAGATAAAGAAAAATATCTTAAATTACATCCTCTGGATCTAGTTTTGTTTGTAGTAATTATAATTTTGTTTATATCTATATTTTTAAAATTTATGTTGATACTGTTAGAAATTTTTTCTAAAAATTGCTTACTTTTTTAGCTATACGCTGAGAAAACTAGAGAGCAATAATCATCCAGCAGTAATGAGCTCTCCCAGCATCTGTACTGTGGTATCGAATACCATTTCTCACTAAAAGACTCAGTTGAGAAATGGCTGAATGCAGGACTGGGAACGAGATGGACAAGGTCCATTACATCTCATCTCTTCTGAAAGCAAAGAAGCCATGAGAGATGACTAAGGTCATGTCACAGGACACAGAAGCCAACTTGCAGAGTCTCTCACTGGCCGCAGAGAGGACAATGTGAGCATCAAAAGATCAACACCCATTCAAGCATGTTAAAGACATAATATATAAAAAGGCATGGAATTCTCTTAATCCTTTAAACTAACCCAATTCCACTCCATTCCTCTTACTCTTCTAAGTTGTTATTGTCACATCTTGTTCCATCTTTTGTTGTGAGTTTCTGGTCAAAATGACAATATTCTATTTATTTTTGGTGTTGTCCTTCCCTTTATCTTTAACATTATAATTAAGTGTTTGCTAAACTGTTCTGAAGGAGGGTTGCAATTTTCTGATTTTGTCTATCTATTTATCTCCTTGCTCATGGTTTTGTAACTCCTTTCTTTTTTTTTTTTCTGATATGAGGACCTTCTGAGGACATCTTGTAGGAGGGTATTGTGGTCTTAGCTTTTGTTTATCTGGGAAAGCTTTTATTTCTCCATCACATCTGAAGGTTATTTTTGCTGTATAGAGTATTCTTCACTGAAAGTTTTTTTCTTTCAGAATTTTGTATATGTATATCATTCCACTCTCTCTTATCCTGCAAGGTTTCTACTGAGAAATCTGCTGAAAGCCTGATAGGAGTTTCTTTGTAAGTTATTTTCTTCTTCCTTGCTGCTCTTAATATTTTTTCCTTGTCATTGACTCTTGCCAAGTTTACTACTATATACCTTTGAGAAGGTCTTTTTATATTGATACAGTTTGGAGATCTCTTGGCTTCTGTCACGTGTATTTCCAGTGCCTTGCACAGGTTTGGGAAGTTCTCAGCTATTATTCCTTTTAATAAGCTTTCTGCTCCATTGTCCTATTCTCCCTAGGAAATACCTATAATCCTTATGTTGCTTGTCCTAGTTGAGTCAGATATTTTTGGAGAATTTCTTCATTGCTTTTTAGCCTTACTTCTCTCTCCACCTCCATCTAAAGCATTTCTATATTTCTGTCCTCAAGATTGCCTCCATAATATCAGTCCTATTGTTCAAAGAGTTCAGATTTTTCTTTATCTCGCCCATTGATGTTTTTCATCTCCAACACTTGTGATGGGTTCTTCTTCATACTTTCAATCTCTTTCATGAAGAGTTCACTCTGGTCATAAAATTTGTTCCTGGTTTCATTGAATAGTGTATCTGTATTTTCTTTTAACTTATTGAGTTTTTTTTATGATTGCTACTTTGAATTCTCTGTCAATTAGATTATAAATTCTAGGGTCTTCAGGAATGATTTCTGGGTACTTATCCTTTTCCTCCTGGTCTGGAGGTTTAAAATATTTTTACATACTGCTTGATGGTATGGATTTGTATCTCTGCATAGAGATAGTATTTGGTCACAGTTTCCCCCTGCTGCCACTTGGGGGAGGGGGTAGGAGCTGTGTAGTCTGAGCCCAGCAGGCTCCCCATCAGCTGTGCCTATTCAAGTTGGAGCCACTCCTTGGGATCACAGCAGTCCTGTGGTACTGCCAAACAAACCAGAAAACAATTACACAGGGGCTGTGGTCTGCTGCCGCTTGCTCCCACAGTCCTTTCCAGATGAGCTCCTCCCTTCAGAGGGCAGCAGGGAGCTTGTTTACCTGTACTCACAGCTCCGCTGTGGTCTGTTTCCAGGTTGTAGCAGCTGTTGTACTGTGTGGGTGAGGCCTCCCCAGTAAGTCTGAGTCAGAGTCACTCCCTGGCACTGCTGTGGGTCTGTGGACTCCCCCACCTGTCGAGAGAGTGATCATACAGGTGTTCAGGGCTGCTGCTGCCTGCTCCCATCATCCTGCTGACTCTCATCCCCTGCTCTGGGACCACAGTGGTACTGTGGTCATTTGAGACACCTGGGAGCTTGTTTGCCCAGCCACAGATATGCTGCTCTCTGCTCCAAGATCTGCTCCTAGGTCGCACCAATTGGACAATCTAGAAGAAATGTATGAATCATTAGACTCTTACAACCTCCCAAAATGGAATCAAGAAGAAATAGAGACTCTGAATAGACCAATCAAAAGTAAAGGGATTAAAACGGTAAACAAAAACCTCCACAAAATTAAAGTCCAGGACCAGTTGGCTTCTTGGGAGAATTCTACCAAACATTCAAAGATAATTTATTACCTCTTCTTCTCAAACTATTCCAAAAAATTGAGGAAGATGGAAATATTCCTAATACATTCTACGAGGCCAACAGTACCATGATCCCATAACCAGACAAAAACAACACAAAGAAGGAAAATCACGTCAATATCGCTGATGAACATAGATACAAAAATCCCTAACAAAATATTGGCAACCTAAATATAGCAATACATTAAAAAGATCATACACCATGATCAAGTGGGATTCATAACAGGGACACCAGGATTGTTCAGCATACACAAATCAGTCAATGTGATACACTGTATTAACAAAAGGAGGACCAAAAACCACGTGATAGTTCCATAGTTGCAGAGACAGCATTTGACAAGATCTAATGTCTGTTCATGCTAAAAACACTCAATAAAATGGGTATAGAAGGAAAATACCTCAACATAATAAAGTCCATATATGACAAACCCACTGCCAACATCATATTCAATGGGGACAAACTGAAAGTGATGCCACTGAGAACAGGAACAAGACAAGGGTGCACACACTCACCACTCTTATACAACATAGTACTGGAGGTTTTGGCCAGTCAATTAGGCAAGAAAAAGAGATAAAAGGAATCCAAATAGGCACTGAATAAGTGAACTTCTCACACTATACAGACGACATGATTTTATATATAGAAAACCCTAAAGAATCCATCAGACCACTATTAGAAAGAATCGACAACTACAGCAAAGTGGCAGGATACAAATTCAATGTACAAAAATAAGTGACATTTCTGTACCTTAATAACGAACTAACAGAACAAGAACTCAAGAATACAACCCCATTTACAATTGCAACAGAAAGAACAAAATATCTAGGAATAAATTTAACCAAAGAGGTGAAAGACCTATATAAGGAAAACTATAAGACATTACTGAAAGAAATCAGTAATTGCATAAACAAATGCAAAGATACTCCACGTACATGGATTGGAAGAATAAACAGCTAAAATGTCCACACAATCTAAAGTAACATACAGTTTCAATGTAATCCCAGTCAGAATCCCAATGACATTCTTCACAGAAATAGAACAAAGAATCTTAAAACTTATATGGGGCAACAAAAGACCCCGAATAGCCAAAGTAATCCTGAGAAACAAGAACAAGGCTGGTGGCATCACAATCCCTGACTTCGAAACATACTACAAAACTATAGTAATCAAAACAGCATGCTATGGGTATAAAAACAGGCACACAGATCAACAGAACAGAATTGGAAGCCCAGAAATAAAACCACACATCTACAGACTGCTAATCTTTGACAAAGAAACCAAGAATATACAATGGAGAAAGGAAAGCCTCTTTAGTAAATGGGGCTGGGAAAACTGGAGAGCTACATGCAAAAGAATGAAAGTAGATTGCTATCTTTCTCCATATGCAAAAATAGACTCAAAATGGATCAAAGACTTGAAGGTAAAAGCTGAAACCATAAAACTTC